TATATATATATATAATACAAGACCATGAACTTTCCATTTGATAAATTCAAGACATTGTAAAAGAGCATAATAGGACCCCTTTAAGGCTGAAAAATATGTAGAAACGTTATGATTTGTAACAATGATTTATTTCAGGGTGTTGACTTATATTCCTCTTACATAAGATTCCCTTCTTGTTTCATGTCCTATTTAATGATTTTATTCCACCATTGTGGCCTACTAATGAATACTACTGATGGCATGTTGTGGTTGTTTAATAAAATATGAATTCAGGGCCCTGTCTATTGTCCTGCTGGCTGATTCTGCCCTCGCTAAACTGCACTGTGGGCCGAAAATAGAGATCTCTATTATCTTTTGACAGTGGTTGTTAAAATGAAACGAGATCTCGGGACCTCACACAGGATCTTGTAACTTCACACACTTCAAGTCTTGGCAACAGAAGCTTACAGACTAGGTGTTATTAACCATAGTATCAAATGAAGCATTGCGATAATCTCATTAAAACATTCTCAGTCTCAGAAGGAGAGAATTGTCCATCCATTTATAATAATGAAGACATTTATCACCCTAATCATAATACAGATGAACAATGCTCAATTATACAAAAACCATCTTCATCAGAATAATTTACGAGGTTTCTAGTGGTTGTCATCTCCCGCTGGAATCTTCATTTTCCATGGACCTCAGATAATGACTCCCCACAACTCGCCGCCTTGGAAGCAGATTTCAGACCAGGGGTTGTTTGTTGATATTCAATTTAAAATTTTGCATCTTAATGTGGTTTGTATTGAAAAGTCACAGATATGTGCAGTTGGTTAATCTGAGATGGATGTGTGGATTGGTGCCACATGCTTTGTTACTTTACTCTTAAAACAAAGTGTCCAGTTAGAACCAAGATTTTACAGCTTGATGCAACAGGAGAATCATTTGAAGAACTTTTTTTCTCTAGTTCTTTTGAAAACCATGTATGTTGTGATGTTTCAAAGAACTCCGAAACAAACACGCTGATCTGAATAACAGAGATATTTTTCATAGAATATTTTTATTTCAAAAGGGACAGTTCTTGATAAAAAGAAGAGGGTTCTTTTCTGAATCTATGGTGCTACAAAGAACCATTTAAGATCTGTTATTTTTAAGTGCGTTGTTTGTCAACTTCCCTTTTACGGAAAGCTCTAAACCTTTGGTTGGTGTGCATGCAGTTGGCCAACAATCTTTGATAAAAAATTCTCAGAAGGGCCATTTTAAAGTTGAAAACTGATGCTGATTGTGTCAGTAGTAGTTTTTTTATGAAGGAATGAGAGCAGGGACACCTGGGCAATGCTCCATACAGTCCATTATTTATTGTGGATCTGAAGAACCAAAATAGTGATCCATTCTGATCAGGTTTTAGACTGCAATCATTGATTTTAAGGGGATGTTGAGTTTTGTACTGTATATCTCAGTATCCTGACCTCTTTTTGAACATGGACAGACATTGGACAGTTTATGTATTGTAGGGTTAACAATAGTTTAAAGGGATTGTTCACCCAAAAGTGAAATTTCACACTCATGTTGTTCCAAACCTGTATTTTTGTCCATAATATAGAAGTCAATGGAGTTCAAGGTTGTTTGGACTCCAGTGACTTTCAAAGTAACTTTTTGTGTGTGTTCTATACAGTCATGAGACATGAAGTTGAGTAAATGATGACAGAATGAACATTTTTGGGTGAACTATCCCTTTAAACGGCATATGGAACAAGAGTACTTTTAAGAATTGTAATTTTCTTTTTTTAGATACTGCTTTTCGATATAGCTAAAATGTTGTTTCATGGTATGCTTCTGTTTATTTTAGCAGCTATGATATTTTTTACATGCATGAACCGCTTTAATAGATAACACACTAAATATAAATGGTTCTCTTATGTTTTTTTTAGTCTCTGGTTTCCTGTCATTTCAAGTTTTGCTTTGTAAATCGTGGCGAACTCTTTTGTAAACCTCACCATCCATGATCTTTTTCAGCAAACTTATTATGGCTGACATGGGAGAGTGATTAGTCATTATGTAACGGGGCAGTTTTTGCATGGCTGTGGTCACTGTTCTGACAAGAAAAAAATGGTTTCCATGCTACAAATACATAATTTAAACTTTCAAAGTTCTCCCAAATTATAGACGCATGAATAAAGATATTGTACTCCTGTGTGCGTGTGTGTGTGAGTGTGTGTGTGTGTGTGTGTGTGTGTGTGTGAGTGAGTGAGAAAAGCTAATGCATGAAGTTTATGCCAGTTTCTGTGTATGAAGTGTTTTAAGTCAATGACTAAGAAAACCAGAAACAACAATTCATGGTGCTATTTGCATTTTTTGTGCAAATAAAATCGAAACGTTTCCAAACATCCGTTGCGTCAAATGATGTTCCTGGCCTTAACTACAATCCATTTAATGAAACCTCTAATGCAGTTGTGGTTTTTGGTACACTGTACTAAAATTACATGTACATAATAAATTGAATAGTGGTTTTGTTTTGAAATGTAATTTTCTAAATCTGATTGGCAGGATTTCGTTCATCAGTGGTAGGTGGTGGAGATGGAAGTTCCCGAATACTCTTGCCGTCTTCCTGCTGCTGATCTGCTTTTCGATCTCAGGTAAAGGAGCTCTAGAGTTATAAATGTAAAATGTTATAATGCAAATAGTGTGTCATCTGGAAATGTAATCCTTAGTTAAGTTCTGATCTGAGTTTCTATGTATATTGATTGCTCATCATGCTAATCAACATTGCTTCCATTTCATTAATTCATCTTTTTCCTTTTTAATGTCTCATTTTATATTTTCAATTTACGTATTTCACTATTTCTCTATTCATTTTATATATTTGTTTTAAACTTTTTCTCAGCTTCCTAATGTTTAAACAACTTTGTCACATTTCTTGCTCTTTATCATGCTTTTTTTTAATCACCTTTAACTTGCTTTTGTCCTTGTCTTTGCATTCTGTTTGCTGAGAAGTCGCAACCAGTCATACATTAAAAATATCTCATAAAAGGAGTTTTTTTTTTAAAATGCCACAATCAGTTTAGTTGTGAAGAAAGATCCTACATATACTCCTGCATATATAAATAAAACAGGACCCAAGGGTGAGATCTGGCTCTGTCAGTGGTCTCACAGCGTGCATTGGTGGGCTAAAATATTTACCGTGACTGCTTCTGTTTGTAGGCCAGTCATTACGCACAACATTTGTAGTTGTTTTTGTGAAGCTGACATAATCTTTGTTACGACAGTTTCTCCCGAGACTGAGTTATTATTCAGACGTGTTATTAATGATTTCAATGCTTAAAAAAAAAACCCGTGGATTTGCTCTTAACTGGCAGCTTGAATCCTTAATCGGTCTGTTTTTGCTGAATTCAAGTTCCCTGTGCGCTGCATATGAAAAGCACGTGTCTTTTTAATATTAGTCACATACCATGGCTCGCCTGTTATACTGGTCCAAGTAGGAACATTTACGGTCTTTGGATGCCTGTCAGAAATGGTTTAGAGCAAAGATCAGATTTAATGCTGGGAATCAGCTTTAGGGAACTTTCTAAAGTGCTTTAATAGTTTAAACAACGGACAGTCGAGTGCTAAAACTCTTTCAAAACAATGAAATTCAATTAATGTGAGCCACAGCCAAAACAAATAATGGAATAATGTTGTGCGGAGAAGGCCAAGAGCAATTTTGAACATCATTTTAGGACATACGCCTCTCGTAGGCATTTCAGCCCTCATTTAAATCACGCCTAAATCAAATATTGCTCAAACTTGGAAAATTCTTGATGAAATAACTTGTTGATTAGATCTGATTGGTCACGTTCAGTAAACAGCGCGCACAGACTCTCTTTTCCAGACATGGAATCTTTACTGTCCTCGTGCAAGAGCTTGTCATTAAAACCAGATGTGATTATGGCCCATAGAGATACCTACCCCTTTCTGCATAAGTTCACAATATGCTTTTGTTGCTTGTTTTCATACTGAAACCACAAATGTACACACAACTTGTCACATGTTTGTTCTTGGATGCCCTTGTTTTTCTGCCATGCTTCATAAGCTAAGGACTGGAGCTATGGGTATGTTTATAGAGTTAAATCTCACTGGATCCTTATAACAGTTGCTCCATGCTGTTCAAAAGCAACGCAAAAAAAAAAAAACAAGTGATGGACTTAATTATGGAATAGTTCCCCCAAAAATGAAAATAATATAATTTACTCACCCTCATGTCATTCCACGCCTATATGTGACCCTGTCTGTGAAATCCAGGCTAAAGTCTCAAAATCTAATTATGAGAGAACATGCATCAAAGTTTGATTTCAACCATTAATTTCACTATGATTTCAATCTTTGACATGGCCTTACTCAGTCAATATTAAATATATAAAGGTTAGATTTTCACAGAATGTTCTACATCTTTATGAAGGATGATTTTATGTAGAAAACAGTAAATCGCACAAAAAAAAAAAAGACTTTAGCTGGGTTTTCACCGGCAGGGTGACATATTGTTTTTTCTTGATTCCATAAAACACTAAATGAAGTGCTGGGCAGAAGGTCTGAGCTCTTTTTCCCATACAGTGAAAGCAGATTTGAAAGATTTAAGCTTATAATTCTATGATTCTGAATTATAAAAAGCCTCATAAAACTGTCATAAAAGTAGTCACATTTCCATTTTAGTGTACCAGCAACAGTGTGTGAAAACCTTGTGAAGACTTACAGAAAACGTTTGACCTCTGTCATTGCCAACAAAGGGTATATAACAAAGTATTGAGATGAAATTTTGTTATTGACCAAATACTTATTTTACCGAGGAATTTACCAATTAATTCTTTAAAAATCCTACAATGTGATTTTCTGGATTTTTTTTTCTCATTTTGTCTCTCATAGTTGAGGTATACCTATGATGAAAATTACAGGCCTCTCTCATCTTTTTAAGTGGGAGAACTTGCACAATTGGTGGCTGACTAAATACTTTTTTGCCCCACTATATGTCATGGACTACATATATTGACCTTCACTTCATCAGCAGGCACTTCGCAACAGTGCTCACATCCCATATCGCAGCTTTTATTATTTATTTTTATTTTTTTTTGCCCTGTTATGAATAAGAATACAACTGGTACTGATACATCTCTGAGGATGACTTTTATGTTATTTTAGGGTCCTTTTTGGAGTTTAAATCGTAATTTTTTTTTCATATGAAAAAGAACAGCTTGGACATTGTGCCTTGCATCTCCTTTTCTTTTCAAGAAAATAATACAGGCATCCATAATGACAGAGAGGTGTCTAAATGATGACAGGATTTTCATTTTTGGGTGAATTGTTAATTGACCTTTGGCAGATGAATGCAGCACACCTTGAGGTACAAAGACAGCAGGTAAACTGCCAGGAGAGTGCGCGAAATGATACACTGCTGAAAGGGCTATTTTTAATCTCCCAGGCCTTTTTATCCTGAGATTCCTGTATCGGGCATTCCATCTTTTGGCATCTTCCCCAAGCGGCCTCCTTCTAAAAGGACGCTTTGAGATCAAAGCTCTCCTTTTCTCCTGTGAAATCATGCAGGCATTCTTTCATTGACCTTCACTTCATCAACAGCCACTTCACGATACTGCGCAAATCTCATCATATCACCAATATTTCATTTAATATTTTATTTTGTTATTTTAGGACATAAATAGACTACACTTGACTATACTGTTGAAACATATTGAAACAAGCATTATTATTTTTCTCTGCAGTGCTTGTTTCTGGATATCGCTATAGTGCAAGAATGAATTAGAAAACCAGTTTAATACATTTTAAGCATTATTTTTATACAATTTTAAATATGTTCAAGTGTATAAGTTACATTGTTGCATCTCAAGCTAAGTTAATATCTTTTAATATATGTGTGATATAATTATACCTTCAAAAAGATAACAGGGTTGACATTACAAGTTGCATTTGTTTCATTTCATTTTCAGTGCATTTAATGCAATTACACTCAACACATAGTGAAAGCTGTTATCAGCTAGCCTACTCATTGTTAAAGACGTTTTTACACATTATTTTGAATGATCTCACTAGTGAGTAAAGTGGAGTGATGCTGTTTTGTTCAGTTTGTGTGAATAAAAATCATTAAAAAAGGCAGGTGACGTGTTCTGTCCCCCTGATGCACTACTGAGATGAACCCGTCCTGGGTGGGAACCAGGAACTGAGCAGCACGCAATATTGTGCCAGGTTACAGCTGTGGCTTTTGTAGCACAGTTGGTTGTGCCGCTTTTTACTGTGGCCCACTCCGACAGCTTTGCACACAACTATAAAACAGCAGGATATTCCAGTAGCGTGATTCCGTCCAATAGTGATTTCAGCCTCTTTCGGCAAAACACTCACAGGCCACTTGTCAAAAGCTGATCCCATTCCTTGCTTGTTTAAACCCCAGGCATGATGGCGGAAATAATTATCTTTTTTCTCTCACCTCTTTCCTTGTTTTTGCTGGACAACTGTTATGAATTTTCCACCGTTTTCTGTCCCAGTTGTGTTGATGGGGTCTTGTTTGTGGTGAATTTCGTAGTGACCCAGTTCAGACTGGTCTGACATTCGGATTTGTGCAATGTATTTGATCCTTCAGAGGGGACCAGGAGAATGCAAATGTGTAGAAACCTTAGCTTACGCTCCAATAAAATGGGTCTGCTATACATTTATGAAGTGTTGTTTGCATGTAGAATGCCTGCTGGCTTTTCATCGTGAAATGAAATAAAAACTGAGGTAGTTACATGTATAAAATCTATTTACTTTAATTGTTTTACAGTTTACAACTTGCAGCAATACAGCCAAAGATCGTTTTGCCTTGGAGCCATAACACATAATGTGCTATACTTTTATTAAATTCAGAGTCACTCTCCAAAAGTAATTTTTATCACATATTTAGACTTTTCTTAACTTAAGTTTAATTTAAATTTGGCGTGAATGCTGGTACAGGGCTATGGGAAACAAGCACTAGCGAAAATTTCTTGGTGTTATTCCATTAAGAAATTATCCGTTCATTTTATTCATTTAGAAAACTTGACCTTGAGGCACACGGTAACACTTTTGCAAGAAAAAATGTGTGTATCGCAATTATGCATAGTTAGTAATTTGTGTCCTCCTGATGACATTTTTTTTTTAAGTTCAGTCATGTTTACCTAGTAGTATATTTGGTTTGGACCTGACTTAAAGTCATAAGAACACTTAAGATGGCTTAAAATTATTTAAATTAAGACAAAAATATATATATATATATACACACACAGTATATATATATATATGCCAAGCTCTGAAATATTTTATCATGTAGAAATATTAAGAGTAAATAAAACAATTTTAAAAATCCTTATCCAGTAAATCACAAACAACTGGAAAAGCTATGACATTTATACAAAAACTTTCTAACAAATTTGTTAGAGAGTGAACAAATTTCATAATTTGCAAAAGTAGTGATAATAGGCATTCATGGGTTTTCAGAATAATACATCTTTTGATTCTATAAACGCTTTTAGATGTCACCACTTCTAAACAGAATCAGAAAGGAGAAAAGTGTGTGGTTTTGGCCGTTTGGATTGAAATGTAAGTGGTCTGAAATTTAGCCTTTGTATCTATTGTCCACTCTGCTGAGCACAAGGCACGTATGATCATCTGTGATGTAGTTAGTGTCCCTTTAAAAGGAAGATAATTTTCCCTTTCTAGGGTGGATACCCTTTATCCCTCTATTAGAGAGCAGTTCTCAGGATTAAAGTGCTCCAACTTTATTGTTCCCCACATGGAATCTGTGAAAAGCCATCAAATCCCATATTACCTGCGAGTTTCGAGCTAACTACTATGAATACCCTTTTTTATGGCCGCTAGTGGACCTCTATGCTTGGATGTTCGATTTGTTGTTCTCAACAGTATCATTACTGTAAAGGAAAAATTGTTTGTGCGGAAAGAAAAAAACTGATGGATTATTATTCACGCATATTATAAATCATTGAATTAGTTTGTCTTTTGTTGGAATGGGTTATGAAATTTAACCCTCAGTAATGTTTGTTTACTTACATCAAACTTGTCCTGAGGTAGCCACTGCATCTTGAGAAAGTTTAATTGCCCAGAGCTGCTCAATTTGCCAAAAAGTGCTGTGGTTTTTGCTTATGTGCTTTTCGGGACTGCATGAACAGGGGCCATTGTCTCAGAGTCAAGTCTTTTTTTTTTTCCCATTGAATTCTTCATATCCGAGAGTTGCATTGAGGGATCTTAAAGGATATGGTCAGTGACGTTGATCATAAGTCTATCAAATGGCTTAAGATTCTAGGTCGTCTTTATGGGGAAATCTCTGGGATTCCTTTAGTAGTAACTTACCATATCTCGACCAAACTTGATATCTGTTTCCGTCCCCTTCTGTTCTTGTTGATGCACTAACCCAGCAGCCATCTAAATGCATCTTCCTATCACCTGATTCCTCTCCTGTCGTTGGCCTCTGCTAATACCTGTCCTTTGCTAGCTAAAGTGACATGTGACCTGTTTGCTTGCAGTAGCACAGAGCTGCCAGAGTAGCGTCAGCTGCAATGTGGTGCTCACCGACTCCCAGGGCTCTTTTACCTCCCCCTGCTACCCCAATGACTACCCACCCAGTCAGGCCTGCAAGTGGACCATACAGGCCCCGACCGGCTTTATAGTGCAGATCACCTTCCTAGATTTTGAGCTCGAGGAAGCGCACGGCTGCATCTATGACCGCATCATCATCAGCACTGGCACGAATAATGCCAAATTTTGTGGCTTAACACCCAATGGACTAACTCTCAACTCCAGTGGCAATGTGATGGAGGTTTCCTTTAACTCAGACTTTAGTATCCAAAAGAAAGGCTTCCATATCAGTTACAAGCAAGGTATGTTTAATATATGGCGAGCTCTTCACAGCATGTTTATTTATCTTAGATGTTTTAATTTATACTTTTTTAGAATTAATGATCAATTTTAAGAAATGTATTCATATTTATTTCATAATGTATAATTAAAATGATTCTTTAAAATTTATATTAATTTATGCTTTGTATCCTGTTATGGTTTACTGGATGCCAGTAATTATGTTTTGCTGTGGTGTTGTGGTTAAAAAAAGTTATCTTTCTATAAGCGTGACGATGAAAGCAGTGTTTTAATATAGTGAATAAACATCAGACCTAATAGACAGCAGTATTATCAAGATTACATTTCTAAACTCTACCACTCTGTTTCATATCACAGCTGCTCACATCATGTTGCTTTGCCGTTCATGCTATCAATATGATCTTGTGTTCTTATGACCACAGTCACAAACATTTAATTATACTGAGTTATTCAGCACTTCTCTCATTCTGTCAATCAGTTTTCAGTCTGCAAAATTTTCTTAACCATTATTTTTGTCTTGTTTTTGATAAAAAAAATATTAAATTATTATCTTAATTTATAAGATAATAAGGCTTGTTTTCAGATAATATATATTAAATTGTTTATATTTCATGCTCATTGGCATCATAAACATTTCAGATCCCTGTTTTCACAACAGAGTAAAAAGTCAAACGTACGCTTCATGTTCAAAATTTTGGTTTCAGGTTTTAAATATTTTTGAAAGAAGTCTCTTATGCTCACCCAGGCTGCATTTATTAGACTATAATACAGTAGAAACACTAATTTATTGTTAAATATTACAAAGTAACTGTTTTATATTTCAATGTTTAATATAAAAATGTTTTTAAGAAATGTATTCATATTTATTTCATAATGTATAATTAAAATGATTCTTTAAAATTTATATTAATTTATGCTTTGTATCCTGTTATGGTTTACTGGATGCCAGTAATTATGTTTTGCTGTGGTGTTGTGGTTAAAAAAAGTTATCTTTCTATAAGCGTGACGATGAAAGCAGTGTTTTAATATAGTGAATAAACATCAGACCTAATAGACAGCAGTATTATCAAGATTACATTTCTAAACTCTACCACTCTGTTTCATATCACAGCTTCTCACATCATGTTGCTTTGCCATTCATGCTATCAATATGATCTTGTGTTCTTTTGACCACAGTCACAAACATTTAATTATACTGAGTTATTCAGCACTTCTCTCATTCTGTCAATCAGTTTTCAGTCTGCAAAATTTTCTTAACCATTATTTTTGTCTTGTTTTTGATAAAAAAATATTAAATTATTATCTTAATTTATAAGATAATAAGGCTTGTTTTCAGATAATATATATTAAATTGTTTATATTTCATGCTCATTGGCATCATAAACATTTCAGATCCCTGTTTTCACAACAGAGTAAAAAGTCAAACGTACGCTTCATGTTCAAAATTTTGGTTTCAGGTTTTAAATATTTTTGAAAGAAGTCTCTTATGCTCACCCAGGCTGCATTTATTAGACTATAATACAGTAGAAACACTAATTTATTGTTAAATATTACAAAGTAACTGTTTTATATTTCAATGTTTAATATAAAAATGTAATTTATTCCCGTGACAGGAAAGCTGAATTTTCAGTGTCACGTGATCCTTCAGAAATCATTCTAATATGCGGAGTGATAATTACGAGAAACAAATTACGAGAAAATAATGATTTTCTGTAGAATTTGTGAAACAAGGAAAGAGTTGGTAAGTCACATTTATTTAGAGTAATATATATTTTTGTGAGCAAAACTAAAACAAAAAACACTTTTGTCTAGGTGCAGTTCATTATCAGGCAACAAGAGTGCCTGTATAAATTGACGGACACAATTATGTTCAATGAAAAAGCACACACTCTTGCAAAACGAAATAACCTTTGTTATGAAGTCAGACAGGTGTGAAGGTACCCATTAGTACCCAGTAGCTTACAGATTTAGACACCATATTTCCTATTTCCTTCCCAGTGAAACAGGTTTGAAATGAAACACCTTTGAGATCAAGCTCATTAGTGTTTAGCATTCAGCAAGCCCATTGCTTTTTCTGTGATCCTTCAATAGCGTCAGATGTCTGGTTATGTCAAAAAGCATCACAAATATAGAGTGCAGGGATCTAATAGTCCAACTGGAGGTGTATTTTTCCATTCTAAATTGCTTGTGGTTTTTATATTGAGATGGCCAACAGAAACAAACTTCTGCCAGTTTAAATTAAATGAGTCAGCAAATATGACATAAAAGAGGTGTTTTAACATGGGCAAAAGAATATGACTGTCCGTTTTGGAAGACGTTTAATAAGCTTGTCTTAGAATGATTACTTGGATGATTTCATGAGTTGAAACAAACAGTATTATGAAATAGTTACTCTATATTAGCTGATTCATGTTTGAATTTAGTCTCTATTGTCCTGCATAGCCATTTTGGAGATCATAACGACGTTTGAATGAACAATTTCTATTCCACAATAACTAAGTAAGTGAATTTTTGTCATATTTTAAGATCTAATGGTTTTTCACTCTTGCAGTGGCAGTGGCGCTGAGGAACCAGAAGGTCACAATGCCAAAAAGCAGCAAGAATGTAGTGAGAGTGTCCAATTCAGTCTCCATTCCTGTTCTCACGGCGTTCACTGTGTGCTTTGAGATCGCCCGCACAGCCCAGAAGAGCACAGAGACCATCTTTACCTTGTCTGATGCCTCTGGGACATCCATTTTGGCATTTGAGAAGACAGAAAGAGGCATGGAACTGTTCATCAGCGGTTCCTACTGCTCTGTAAATGACCTGCTCACCAGCTCAGACATCACATCCAGCATGACACCCATCTGCCTCACCTGGACCAAGTCCACTGGCCTTGTGGCAGTGTACTTTGGAGGCCACTATCGAGCCAAAACCTGCGCAGCCTCTCAGGTTTACACCTTGCCGAGTGGGGGAATCCTCCAGCTTGCAGGAAAAGGGTCAAGCTCGGTCAGTGTCGATGATCAGAATTTGGATGGTTTCATATACAATTTCCGGTTATGGGATTATGCCATGCCCTACTCCGAGCTGTCTGCCCTCACCTGTGATGTCGAGGGAAACGTCATTGACTGGGATCATCGTTACTGGACTATCCCAGGCAGTCACACACAAACTGACAGCACGCTCAGCTGCAGTGAGTAGATGGTTTCAGCTATATTCTGTGGAAGCTGGTTTATGATTCATAACCAGGAGTGATTAAATTGACAAACCATCACACACAACTCGGTGTGGGCTGTCACACAAGGTCCAAGTAAAACAATTTGTCTGATGAATCCCACAATTTGAAATTAGTTTCTAGTAGTAATTTCAGATTAGTTACTGTGAATTAATTTCACAGTAAAAATGTCAAATATTCTAAAAAAAAAAACTAAAATTTGAGAAGTGAACTTGCATAAGACAGAAAATCAGAAATACAAAGTGTTTGAAAATACAAAGATATGGCAAGTTCACTTCTGTAAATGCACCCAAGATGCAATAAAACCATATTTAGAAGTGGTCATAGACTGAATCTGACCATATTCGACAAAGTTGTGCATGCTAATGTTGTTTTTTTATGGCCATATAACCACAAATAATATGTAAGTGCTGTTGTCCATTTTACATAAATAAGTGTCATTGTATCACACTGTAAACAAGGTGAAATGCAAGGTGTAAATGCAATCTAGTTAAAGCATATCCAGATGCTTTCTTCCACTTAGCTAGGTTCCTGAAACTCTAGATGCCCAGCCCATGGAAAAAAAGTGTCGCTTCAAACTATGGCGCCGCAGATCAAAAGCATTAACTCAATCAGTAACTTTCTGTGCTCTAAGACAGATAAAGCCATACGTTCTGTGTCAACATTTGGTCTGTGTTAGTGATGGAAGTAGTGTTGGAATTATTTTCTGTTATAACCTTCAATGTGGACTCCCACTGTTTACTTGTGTATATACTGTGATTCATGTTTTCATAAGCTTTTTAATTATCTGTCCATTTCAAAGCATAAAATTCCTTCGATAGATACTGTATGCAGTTTACTTGCATATCACTGCCATTGGCTAGCTTGAATTTAATTAAGTGCTTATGCTAACTGTAGTTTGTAAAGGCAACTAATTTCTCATCTTCTTTTGCAGTCTGTTACCCAAATTGCATTCACTTAACAGCTTCATCTAGTGGTGAGTGTACTGCTAACATGCCTAATATGTGCATAATTGCTTGCTTTGAGCTGTGAAGGTGATGCATGGCATGACATATCATTCAACGTGGCTGTACCTGCGGATGCTTTTTGCACATAATAGTGTATTTTCTGTCAAATGTGCTGAACTACATAATGCTCATGCTCTTACTGATGGATATTTACTTCTGACAGGAGAGCTGATGTTTATTGGTGTATACTTATATTTACTCACTCGCTTGTCATTTCAAACCAGTATGACTTTCTTTACGTTTTGTTTTTTAAGGACACAAAAGGTTCATTTCCCATATACCTCTGGTTACTCTTCTATTGATATGAACTGAATGGAGACTGAAGCTTCAAGCGTCATAAAGAATGCAAAAGCACCATAAGAATCTAAGAATATCAGCACATCTGGGGCCTCATTTATAAAATGTTGCGTAAAAACCATCCTAAATTTGTTCTAAGATCATTTCTCAAAAGTGCGTAAGTGCGATTCAGAGAAAACGAACGTGCGCACAAAAACGTACGCCTCTCTTCCAGATGTGACATTTATAAATCGCAAATTATCTTGAAATTGTGCATAGCTGACTGGTGTCAGATCTCCGCCTTGTAAACGCCCCCTAATTAATATAATTACCATATAAAAGATCACACGCCAATATCCGAATTTCTGTGCTTGAGAATGACAAGCACAAAGAAAAAAAAACTTTACTGAGTCTGAAATTGAGGTCCAGCTGGCGTAGGTAGAGGTTTGTGCGGGGACGCTTTTTATTTAACAATGTGTAATTATTCTGTGGACAAACAATGTGTGTGTGGTTATATTTTTTCGATTGACTATTATGAAAATTATTACTTCTAGAAACAATAGAAATAATAATAATAATAATAATAAAACAATTAGGTTTCCAAAAGTAAGAATAGGAATTCAAGTAAAATTTTCAGTCATCTTATAAAAAGTGAGCCATCCTACTTTTAAAATCACTTGCTATGACAACTAATAAAAAGTTTAGTATCACGAAATTCTTGCAATACTTTAAAAAACATTATTGAAAGAAATATTGGACGTTTCATATCATCATAAAATAAATTATTACACGATTATGGTCTCCGGTCCGAAAAAAAACATGTGATTTGGCATTTCTTTATATTTACACAGTTTACTAATGCTGCTCATTAATGTACTGACACAAAAATATATAGTGCATTTATACAAATATAACAGATGTAAATGAAAAAAAAACAGTTTAATTCTGATGTCTCTATTCATTTTCATAGAAGCAAAGCAGCAGATGTTATAAATAAAAACAGTTAACAATGTCATTGAATAGAATATAGGCTATTAAAACCGTTATTGCACGACATAGGCCTATTCTTATAGGCTGCACAGACAAAACAGTCGTTTGTACGCCTGCTGAGACCCTGACGTGGCGGTAAGTACTTTTCCACGTCAAAGACCGTTTTTATAAATATGATCGTTGCCGTGGATTTTAGCGTATGCACACTCTAAGATCATCTGTGCGTACGCACATTTTATAAATGAGGCCTGGAGTCAGTATATTAGCTTTGTGAATTTTAAAATCTTCAATTCCAGTGAGCTGTTAACTATTTTGAACATGGGAACCAGATCTGTTCATTTCTAAAATAAATAATTTAGCCTGATTTTGTGAATTGGATCACATGATTCATTGAGAATATTTTTAATGATATTTTAATGGTTGCTTATTTCTTGTCAATCCTTTCATTATTTTGAAAAGAGTGGCCAGAATATTTTCAGAAATTAACCTAATTTCTACTAAAAGTCATACAGGTTTGGGATGAAATGATGGTGAATAAATAATCACACTGAATGAAATACCCCTTTTAATACATTCTTTTGTTCCATTCATTCATTTAGAATTTTTGCCATTTCAGTGCTAGACCTGTTCCAGGGCATTTTTGCTTTTTGCTAGCATTTTTTGACCCTGTCAGGAGCAGTGTAAGATCCCCTCAGACAGTTAGACGCTGGAACCTATGACACATAACTATTTCCCTTGTTCAGTTACAGCCAGCTGTGCTTGTGATGTTGGCATAAAGTCAAGAGGCCCGTGAAGTTGAGCCCGGAGCAAAACTAATGCTGTCACTAATAAGCATGCTTTTAAAATGCTACCCTCCCCTGTCTTTCCATTGGCTACTCATGTGGTTCCCTCTCATCCTTTGACAAGACCAGTGGGAGACAGCGATCCAACCTTGCATGGGAACGCAGTGGAGGAGCCTGTCTTTAGAACAGCTCAGGTTTTTTTTCCCCATCAACCTGCCTTTTACACAGGATGATCAGAGACTCTGCGCTATAGCGCTAGACAGTTGTTGCAATGTGACGTCTCCGTTAATATATTTAAGAGCTCTTAAATTTACCCTGCTACTGTACTTAACTATAGGATGAGCTATGAATTAGTTCCTCGGTGTAGTTTGACACCTGAATCAAATCATCTTTTTCATAAATGACTTGTCCTCAGAGTTAAGTCAGAGTTATATTGTATTTGAAAATGTCAAAATAATCAGCTTTTTTTTTTTTGGAGCCAATCGCTTTTTGATTTATATTTAGCCACTCTTAAAGACTCTTAAAAAGTGGAAAATATCAAACAGATTTTGGAAAACCTTTCAAATCTTGGTCTGTGCAAATGGTTTATTAACTAGACTTTTGGTCATTGCTCCAATCCTCAGACATGCACTGATGAGATTTCATTGACTGAAGCTTAACCAGTAGATTTGCATTGCACATTGAGGTTTTGCTTTTGCAGATTGCCTGGCTTTTAAATTATTTTGAAGATTTGGTGCATGTTGTTTAGACACTGCTTGAGCTTTATGTCAGAAACTAGCTGATGAATTGCAAAACAAGATGCAATTTGGTATTTCACACATCCCTAATGGATTTGTGTTGAGAAAAGGTGGCATTCCTGGGCCTCGATCAAACCAGCCCGCAGAACATTTCTGTCATTCAGCTGTGGCAAATTATTAAATTCCACCTTTGAGTTGCTGATGTTCAAGTTTCAGTGTGGACATTTTGAGGTCACATTCCATTGTCAAAGCCCAGAGGAGTGCTGGGGAATGTATGACACTTTTACAATCCAAATCTTGTCCTAAGGTAGACTTGAATTTCTATTCATGGATGTAAAAGAGAGAGAATGAATATTTTTGACAGTGCTTTGGGAATGTCCAAGTCTGTCCATCTTAAACTTGATTCATTTTAAATGTATTTTTGTGACTTTGTACATTGTCTAAAGAGTTTATGGGTATTATTTAGATCTTATAGATATTTTCATGAATGTTGAATATAATATGTTTTCTCAATGTAACCACGAGGCATTTTCATTCTGGCAATTTATTTAGTTTCACTTTAGAACCGTTTATTTTTCACATTTATTTGATCATAAAATGTCAAATGTTAATTTTCAAATCTTTCTTAGGCACTGCCATAGCAACTCTTTCCCTGGGAACCACGGGTTGTACTTCACCTGGACTTGGCTGCCCAGGTAGGAAGAAATATCCTTATTATAACTTTTCATGCTGCAAACATTCCTCAAAACATGTTTTACTAGATAATTAGTTGACCCATTATAAACACTTATTGTCTAATCAAAGTTTTGACCTTTTTGGCTCATTTATATGACTTGCTGATTTACAATACTCCTTTGTCTCTTAATTTCATTGCCAATTTTAACATGAAAGAGTTTAAAATACAACCATTTTCCTTGAAAATGATATATAATACTAATTGGCAAGTCTTAGTCCTTTGGTTGTGCGTAAGCAGGCCAAACAAACAGCTTGACTTCCGCTCATTAAGTCTCCCCTAAACTGAACTGGTGGCCAGTAAACGTCTATCATCATCTGGGAGCCATGAGAATCCTCAGGCCTACTGTCCTTAGTTATGGCCATTAAAGGTCATTGTCCCATGCTTCTTTCCTACTGAAATTTCATTGCATAATATTCATTCCCATGAAGTACAAAAAGTGCAGATTCATGCCTGGAGATTTGAGAGTCTTTCAATAAAGTTAGTCTTCTGGGGTGAGGAATAACTTTTAAATCTTTCATTAACTTCGTCATTCTTCTTGTCACTGAACTATTATTGTTATCATCATTTATTTTATTTTTTTTATGTATCAAATGTTTGCAGGAGTAACCTATCATGGAGGTAAAATATCTATGCAGAGAAATCCATATCAATGTATATAGAGTATGATGTTAAAGTTGGATGGGGTTTGGGTTAGGGAATCACAGGTAACTTCTATATAATTGCCTCCTCGAAATTTCGCAATGATTAATTACATATAACTGGCTGTCATATCTGAAGGAAAAAAGCATAAGTGGAAAAAAAAAGACGGACTGACTATGTATTTTTGAGGATACACAATGTAGAATTTGACCTACTGGGTGTTTGTAGAAAATGACTAGTAACAGACAATCTCAGGCAGACATCTCCCTTTTCAGCACATTGTGTGACTCAGCAAGGGAAGTTAAAATCATCTATTGCCAAATTTTTCTTGGCATTTAAATAGTTTTATAACATGTCATATTTCTAATTTTTGGTTATTCCTTTTTTCCATATTCATCTCACGCTATGCTTATAATGCACACAACTGTTCATTTGCTCCACTTGTTGTTCTTGCATTTTTGGTTTCACTCTAACCTCCATTTAATGCCAGTTTGCCCTTTTTCCATCCCTGCCACCAGCAACATTAACTGTTACCACCGCTTCCATTGCCACCACTAACATGATTCCTTTTAATGCAGCAACCCATGGTAAGCATTCACATCTGCCTTCTCATCATTTTATGTCTGTGTTATGTCTGTGTTCCTTTTGTTTCATGAGGGTTGTGTCTTTTGCCTAATGCAGAACAGGTGGTGGTCAACTCATTTAGCTTTTTTTTTTTTTTAACGCTCAAAAGTAGATTTGAAAAAATGCCAATGTGAATGGTTGCTTTATTTGGTGAATCGGTTGCATCACAGCACCCTACTGAAATATCCCTAGTTTTTTTTTTAAATAATCATGCAGGATTGTTTTAAGTAAGCAAATCTGTCTGGTTGAAATGCTCATTTCTGTCATATCATTGCAGTTTACAGGTGATTTAAAAGATAGTAAACAGTATTAATTCCTTTTAAATGTCTTTTTTCTTCTTGTGTTCTGGCATCAAATAATGTAGCAACAATGCAGTTTATTGTCTAAATTTAAATAGATGCCATGGCAGTTTACTTAATATAACTGGGGATATTTTACCCAAAAATGAAAATTCTGTCATCGATTATTCATCCTTGTGTTGTTCAAATGATAACAAAAAAAATTTATTTGTTAAATGCCATCTGTCAGATAAATATTTTTTACATCATTTTTTCTTCACTAACATATTCCAAGTCAAATGCATATCTACATTTTTTTTTTATGTTATGTAGCAGATAACCCAGTAGTCGTTTTGTAATTTTAAAGATGGATGCATGTCAGTAGAGCTCATTATCTCTATTTTCTTCATCAGCTCTTACTACTACTCTTTCATACACATCTGCTTCTAGCATGCCTCTAACCACAACTTCTGGTAAGCAGATATCTAGGTTTTCTACTGTTTTATATTCTGTTTAATGAGGTATGATAAATGCCCTCACTAATCCATGTATGTGGCTCTGCCTCTTTGTACCAACACTAGCTCTACTCACACCAATTACTAGCACTAAAACAACAGCTACTACTGGTAAGCTAACAGTTTCTGAGCAAAAGATTTCTTTTCATTTAGCCATTAGCATACATGTATGCTGTATATTGCCTTACTAACCAAACGTTTAACATGTCTATGTGTGCCATCATTAGTATCAACTACATCATCTTTAATCCAATCTAACCCGCCACCCATCAACCCTGGTAAGACATCACTTCTAACAAAAGATGTATTATCAAATGCCAATTTTATTAGCCAAATTATTCAGTATTGCCCAACAAAGATACAAATAAACAAAAATGACCAATAAACAAAAAAAATTGCATGGCAGTATATGGACCCTTGTCTCATGTCGTCATGCATAGCTTTACTCTGTGTGTTCATTTACCTAAACCATTCATCAGTCACTTAATCCATTCCTTCATCTGCAGCTGCTGCTACTAACTCACCTCTGCCCAACCGCAAAACCAATGGTAAGCCAAACCTGTTATCTAGTGTCATAAATGGCTTGCTTGTGCTTACCAGGGAATGTCACTGCTAAACTTTCATTTGAATGGGCAGAATGGGACCTGCTAGCTTGTTTAAATAGGAACAGGAATTAAAATGATTGGTTAATTGCGCTGAAATTTTCTGGGTGCAGATGAAAGGCCTCATACCTATTTTTTATGCACATTTTGTATACTTGTGGAATATTAACTTAATTACCTACTAGAATGTTAAGAATTAATTGTATAAATAAACACCATACTAACTCTTATTTGTCAAGTGTGTGCTGTGATTATATTGTTCTTTTATATGGTGTACTATGTATCTGCAAAGATAAATAACAGCCTGTTCTGACCTCTTCATTTTTTATATCTGCAAAGATAAATAATAGCCTGCTCTGACCTCTTCATTTTTTACCAAATCTGGGATCCTCTGCTAAATAATTAAGCTGGAGCAGAGAAAGAGAGGGCTGCATTTTTGTGGTCACTACTGCGGTTTACTCCTCGCGCTGAGACTTCGTCCACTAGCTCTCCCCCTGCTAGACCTCTTGTTGCTCCTGCTCTCCGGGGCCCTAAAACATCACTCGGCTTCATCTCCACACCCCTCATCTGGCCCGTGAGGAAAAAAAAAGTTGAGGCTGCTGTCACTCGGCCACACAAACGTCCCGCCATCCATCTGACCAAGCCACCTGCCCAACCGACAATAAGTATGACGAATGAATCCCACTTGCTGAAAACATCTACAATGGCCTCCGTTGCTAAGAAAACAGACTCTACAAGCATGAGGCCAGCCTATTCCCAAGTGAAGCCTCCGTGGCAACCAGATGCTCACAATCAGAGTGAAGAATTTGAGTCTTTCCAGGTGCCATCACTCAGTAATCGTAAGAATAAGCCACTAGCTCCTCAACTGGTCCTGAGCGATAGTGACAAGAACAGCACGGAGATACTTGATTATCCATCTGGTTTTGGCCCGGAGGCATTTTTTTACGACATTGACTTGGATGATGATGTCTTCAGCCTGTTCGACTTTGATTCCACCTACTCCCTGGATGAAAGCTTGGCCACTGCCATCCCTCATAACATGTCTTTCATAGAGGTAGAAAGTGTGCCTGATGTCAACACCACAGCTTTTGGACCAGCGAGACAGGCTGTTAGCAAACCGGAACATTTACACAGTCAGTCAGACCTTAGTTTACCCTGGGCAATGTCAGAGCTGGCACAGGTCTCAGAGCGGCTGGAGACAGACAGCAGCTGGACACTTATCCCATCTCCCACCGTGACTCTGAGAGGAACAGGTGTGCAAATGATCCAGCCTGAGCTCAAGAGTCTCTCAGACCAAACAGCAGCATGGCCAGAGCGGTCGCCCACACATCTTGTGGATTTAAAGCTAACAAGCACTGTGCCCTGGGGCCTCTCAGAGGCAACTGCCATTGAGGACAACTTTAAAGATGTGCAACACGGTCAGAAAAAGTCCACCATCGAGCCCCCAACAGTTACACATGACCAAGTGGAAACTTTAGCAGAGGGTAATGTCAGAACAGGATTTACAGAACCTGATTATAGTCTTACCGATACCACCTCTTCTTATTCTTCATCAAACTCCCAACAAAGCTCTTTCGACTATCTCCCCGATCAAACTATTTTGCTCATAGAGCCTTTGGCAGTGAGCCTTCTCCTTCCACAAGGCAGCTATTCCCTCACAACAGAGACACTTGTTATCTCCTCTCTCGCTTCCCCTCATAGTGTCGAGCCGGTGGCTGGAGTGCTTATGGATTCAACCCACAGCGCTGCCACTCTTATTGAGCCCCTGAATTCGATGCCTACTGCAGGGGTTCAAAGTGACTCCTTAATGACACAGGCCATCAGACCGAGTCTGTTGTCTTCTTCGCCTCACACTGATGTTTTCCAATCTCTGACACCTGGCTCAGCCCAAAGTCTCTTTATCTCTGATGCCAAAAACAACACTGACCTGGTTTTACCCTCAATGAACAATCAATTCATCCTTTCTGAAAACCCACAAGCTGTTGACTCCAGCCAATTCCCAACTTTTAGCGTTCTCACTGTGTATCCAGGCATCACGAGCGGAATTTCTACGTCAATAGTGGGCAGCCAGTCCAAATTAGATTCACCTCTGGTGCTGGAGCCGTCACGTGTAAACAGATTGCCAGAGACCCTTTTCAGAGGCTTAAGCAGGCAAGGCGATGTTAATCCTTCAGAGGCTGATCTGAGGGACTTGTCACATATGCCTCATATTTCTGTCAGCGCTAGTTCGGAATTACCATACGGTTCTGCGGTGGCCCTGACAGATGAATGGAGAGGTTCTCAGTCTTCACCCCTTAATTCAGACTCCCAAATGAAAGTGGAGAGGATAGATTTGTCCTCCCACAACATTTTTGACTTTAGCTCAGAACATGGCATGTTCACGTCAGCATGGTCAGGCTACTTCAAAGCCAACGGGGAGAGATCCCAAATTACATCACCTGAAATATTTCCCTCAATTTTGTTCAGTTCGATTAGTAAGAATGGACCAGATGAGGCCTCACCTTATGAAACCAAATTCAGATATCAATCAGAGACAATGGACATTTCTAACTTCATAGAGCCTGGCAATGTCCTTTCTTCTCAGTCTACAGGAGAGGTTCATCATGATGGATTTGTTATTTCTGGTGCATATAGTCGAATAAGTCCAACCCACAAATACGTTGAAGCCACAACTACCACATGGTTTCTCAACACAACTTCTCTAAATATCTCAGAAGTTTCTAAGTCATTTAACAAAAACAGCACACATGACTCCATTGATTCACATAGTAACTTTTCATACATGACCACTGAGCAGATTGTGAGCCATTCAAACACAATTCAAGACTATGAATTGTTTAGAACAGATAGACACACATTTGAATCTTTGTCAGAGAATGTGCCGCACACTCATCATCCTTTTCAAATGACTTTGACTGGTGCAGATCTGTCATCTCAGACCCCACCAGACCCTGCTTTTCTTCAATTTTCCACCTTTACAAGCAGAACTCCATCAGAACTTGCCTCCGTTCCAGTCATCCAACCCTCCAAATCAATGTACATCTCAAGCAGCCACAGTGAAGACCTGCTGGACATTAAGCATGCCCACTCCTCAACAACAAAGTGGCCATTTTGGGCCAAGAATGAATCAGCAAACCCCTCCAGTCACAGCCACAATGTGCTCGTTGTTCAGCCCGCCACCACAGATAGCAAGACACATCCGTCTCTAGCTATTGACGAGCAGTCTTTTGTCCCTACAAATGGCACAGTCAACACCCCAACCAAAGGAGTCAGTGCAGGTTTTGGCTCTGTGCATACTGGTGCCACCAATGGGACCACTACAGACCCTCATGAACTGGCCCCATGTCCATGCAAAGCTCCCTTTCATATTACATGTCTGTGTGGACTTTCAACCGGGAACAGTATGTTTTCCAATAACAATCTAGACCTTAGAAAGAGAGATCTTCTTTTATTGCTGAATCCTGACTTTCTGAGCAAGTGATCGTAGAATGATGGTTGTTCAATTTGGGGGGAAAATCAGTCTGTCGTCTTGGTGTGCAAATGAATTTTTTTTTATTCCATGTGATTTACTAGAAGTAGTAAGATTAACAATAGCCAGTTCTGACAATCATTGAGTTTCAGCACTCTTGCATACTGGCTGTTACTCGCTCACTCAAATTGAGTGCATAGGTCTCTTGTAATTATCCAGATTTGCATCTTTCTTCCTTCTTAGGAGACTGCTTTATTTAATTATTTATTTTACATTGAACTGTTCAGCCTTACTTTCGAGAATTATCACTCTGATGATTTTATGAGAGACTACCTGGGTTGTGGAGTGAAAATACAGTGTGCAATCTAAGGAAGCTCTCTCACATTTTCAATTTGTGGAAATATGTTTTTAAAATTTCATTATATTAGGAGTCTCCTAAGAAAGTCTTGGCATGGTGTAGTTATGCATTATAAAAGTAGTCCAGCACTAACAACTCAAGATACATGAGAGCCATCTTGTGATAGAAGTGCAGCATAGCAGTAGATCTCAAAATACATTGCTTAATGAATCAGGTTTTTTTTTTTTTTTTTTTTTTTTTTTACTGCCAAATCTTCTATACTGAATTTGTTTTTACAATGCTTTGGATAGATTTAATTTGAAAGATCTGTCTTGAGGCCACATTTGTTTCAAAATAGCTAATTACCAAGATAAAGATTTCATTTTTAACTACTGCTATGCAACACAGAAAAATGTGAATTAAGTAAATTGTGTTTTGATTGATAACTAAAAAAAGTACCATATTCTCCTTTTACAGAGGATATTTTTTACAGAATATCCCTTGTGGTATTTGATGAACAAGCAAACACCCCAGACAGGGATGCTAAGACGATGATATCTCAATGGGTATATTTGTATTATTTTTTTTTAAATAATATATATGTATTTGGTTTGTTTCACTGTTAAATACATTTTAAAACTCCAATAATGGATAATACAATAACTTGTAATTTTATGAAATTTGAATTCTTTCTAAACATGCCACTGCTTACTAATCCATTTCTGTGATGTTTACAGCTCAATCAAACATTTCAAAACTGGTTCTACAGAGTTTATGTTGAAAGTGTCAGGTAGGATTATTTTTTTTACTTGAAAGTGTAAATAAACATTTCTTTATTTTATTTAATCATTGTTCATTTTGTTTAATGATTGTTCACAATCTCACTCTCATCCCCTTCTCAGTCTCCAACCTAACACTGTTCTCTCAAGGGCCACAACTATACGGTAAAACATGTGCATACTGTTACCGTTTTTGTCTGATTTTTCTAATGTGATAGTAACTATGTTTCACAATGTTTTGTTTTCAGTATTATTGATATCTAAAAAATATGCTGCGATATTGCTTTCTTCTCAGACAATCCTACATGGCCCTGCTGGTGTATAAGAATACCACTGATGCAAGTCTGGCAGAAGTAGAGATTGAGAACATACTGAGAAGGGCCCCTGCAATTGGAAATGGCTTGATATTGGACAGTGTGACTGTGAACTTAATGGGTATGGCATGCTCCATAGTGTTTAATAACAATACTGTAGCCCTGTAAATTATTAATAAGCACTTGCATACAGTACTTTAAAAATTATAATTATTACTAAGTATTACTGATCTCCTATTCAAATATGATATGGTCTTGAACTTACACTGATACATAGCAGCATGAATGTTGCATCACGCCACAGCAAAGTTTTATTTATCAAAGCCATAATATGATTTTAATCATGTTTTCAAATAAATTATTCATATCTTAAAGGTAAAACTTTTTAATGTGAAAAAACTATGGAGTGCACCTTTGAGGATGTTGGGAAATTTCAGAAGGATGGCTCTTCCTTAATTTTGTTTCTGTGTTTGTTTTACCTCAGAAAACTGCCAGGCAGAGGAGTTCCCATTCCACTACAGATGGCCAGAGAGCAGACCCACAGTCACCCAGTATGTCCCCTGTTTCCCTTACAAAGAGCAAAACGCATCCAGGACTTGGTGAGTAAATGCTGAGACCTTCTAATCTAGGTGCAAATGGGAATATACTACTAATTGAAGTGGTTACAGCCAGTAATCATGTTTTAGCAGGTGCGTTAGAAAAGTCAATTTAATAATTTGCATTGTTTTAACTTACTTTTTTTTTTTTGCCCTTTAGCATGATTAGCCAGTATAATTATACATCATATTGGGCCCTGCCGGACCGCGGAAACTGCACTAATATTACAAGCATTTCAATTTCACAAGGTAGGTTCTGATCCACACTACACACATTAATCTGAAATCAAAACCAGCTTCAGTAACTCTTACTTTCAATTTACCAGAGAATGCAATGGAAGTGGCCGTGCAGCTCGCTGACATTACTAATAATGAGCTCTCTAAGGAGGAGGTGACACAGGTTGTCTTCAAGGTGAAGGAGCTTGTGAACATAGCCAAAATCAACGCCACCCTGGCCAGCACTGTGGTCACTATTATCTCCAACGTCATGATCAGCTCAGAGGCCGCTCAAAAGGACGCCTCAGAGACGTACGTGCCTCTTACCTGCACTGTAGAAAATGAAGAGTTTGCAGAAGTTATAAAATGAAGGCAACAATTTGCATGACTTTTTGGAGTTGAATGTTTAATTAAATATCTTGACTAAACATCAAATGTCCAGTATTCATCTGGCACCATTTTAACAATTGCCTGTTTATATTCAGTAAGTCAAAGATTTGTTACGCTGTATCAACTTGTATGGAAATTATTCCCTTTATTTTTGGTTTTATGGTTTTAAATGGCTATATGTGGATTAATACTGCATTCTTCTTTCTACATATTATTTGAGAGCAAAGCATTATATTTTTTACAATATATTGCCTGAATCTCTCTGTGTCTTATCCATCCAAATGTTTTCATTTTCACTGAAGGGTCTTCTTGTATGTTCAGTCCGGAAGTTTTTTAATCTTCTTCTTTGTATCGGCATGTTCAGAGCTCTCAAAGCAGTGGATGAATTGGTGCAGAAGATTGAATTTGATGGACCCTCACTAGCCATCACATCCAAATATCTGGCTGTTGGGGTTTCTGCTCTAAACATCAGCAATTTTAATGGGACCACTTTCAGTGCATTTATAGCCACAAACCTGACGGACCCTCAGGTAAATGTCCTTCAAAAAATGTTCACCTCTCTGCTTCATGTCTTTTAATGTGACATTTGACATGCCTTTATACAAGTATGTGAGTGGTTTTTTTTTGCTTGATGGCGTCTGTTTCTGGTTATGCATGTATATTTGAACATGTACTGCACACATAATTTGCTTAAGACTTCCTCAAGCAGGCTGGCCAAACATTTTAGCTGTATTTTTGGTTGGCCAAACATTTTAGAAGTAAAGTTTTAAAGTAATCTTTGGCTATTAAAGCAGTGTAATGAGAGGTGACGTGTATGGACCATGCCCAGGGGTTGCACCCATTGATTAAGAGCCAACGGTTCCTGGAAAGTTGTGGGAGGAAAAAGAAACATTGTAGAGTCTGAGACTCATGACACATTTCTCTCTTCTCAGGGCATGAGTGTCAGAATGTATATTTTTGCTAGTATTTAAGTGTATTTTGTGTATTTTTAACAGGCGTGCACATTTAAATTGTTGTATTTTTGTACCATTTCGTATGTTTATAGTTTACGTTTAACTCAATCATTTGAACTATTTAAGGGATTTAAAAAAATTAAAAGCGCACATTAGCCTAACAACAGTTTATATTATCCCCTGAAGGCTCTGTTTCAGGGCAGTCTTACCATTTTTATGTCTCCAAGAATGAGTCTAGTTTTACTTGAGGTCTTTTAATGGATTCATTACCACTTTATTCTGGCAGAGGGCGCAGTAACCTTTTCTAATGCAATCACACACATGTAGCTCTTACACATTATGGTATAATGTAAGTAACTTTTCCTCCACAGATCGATTTTGAGTCAGAAGCCCATAATGCTTTGGCTGTGGTCACTCTACCTCCAACACTACTGCACAACTTGAGTTATTCACAAATGGAAAGAGTGTCCAGAATAAACTTCATGTTCTTCAGCAAGACAGGACTCTTTCAGGTGAGAATGAACCAATTTAGCTTTTTTATTGTTGTATGTTTTTCTCTGAATTAAGTATTTGTGGTCCCTTCACATTAAAATAAGGCTTTATTTAAAGGACTGAAGAACAATATAATATTGACAGTTCTCATTGATATTTCTGTTAACAGCACTTTGGATGGCTCATGGTACGGTAACGAATCTCTGGACGTTTCTCTGTGCTGAGTTAACTAACTCCTCAGAATAATCTCTAAATCGTGCATTACATTGTGTAACATACACTACCATTCAAACTTGTTTGGGGTCATTAAGATTTTAAAAAAAAGAAGAAAGAAATTAATACTTTTATTAAGCAAGGATGTGTTAAATTGATCAAAAGTTACAGTTTTTTACATTGTTACAAAATATTGCTATTATAAATAGATGCTGTACTTTTAAAATATCTATTATTCAAAGAATCCTGAAAAAGTGTATCACAGTTTCATGAGTACCTAATCAGTATATCAGAGTGGTTTCTGAAAGATGTGACACTGAAGACTGGAATGGTTGCTGAAAAATTAGCTTTGCCATCACAGAAAGAAATTACATTTTAGAATTTTGAATTATGATAACATTTCACAATATTACTGTTTGCTGCATTTGATCAAATAAATGGAGCCTTAATGAGCATTAGAGAAATGGTTCCCAAACATGTGAACTGTATGTCTTGAATTCAATTAACATATATGTCTAATGATATGTTCCTTATCTTTGAATGCATATTTTATCACTTACTGACAGCTAACAAAAATGATATACTCTGTCCATACTTACAAAAATTATGTGTTTATATAGACAAAAATCCTGAATCCTGACTCTCCCTAAAACTAAGATGAGCAGTTTTGTTCTGACAATCTGTCTCATGTCTTCACAGGATCGGCAAAGTAATGGCATGTCCTTGAACAGCTATGTGGTGGCTAGCAGTGTTGGCAACTTCACAATCAAAAACCTGCAGGATCCCGTCAAAATAGAGATTGCCCATCTGGAGTACCAGGTCTTAAGCTTTTTATTTATTGAAAATTAAATGTATTGCCAGTTTTTTACAGAAACTGTTGTTTTGGTGATATATTTTTTTGGAGTAATTACAGTAACCACTCATTTTTTTGGTTTAACCTTCCCGTCAATGAGGTTTCAGAGCGGTAGTTTTCTTCAAAAAAAATTTTGTACAAGCTAACTAAAACAATGGGGTCTAACACAATGTGTCTGTCTGTCCTCCAGAGAGATCCAAAGCGTCTTTGTGTGTTTTGGGATTTCAGCCTCCAAAGTGAAGGTAAAATAAATTATTTATTTGGCTGCTGTTTAAGAATTAAAATAGTCCCATAGGAGGCTGTACTGTATAGACTTCCAGTAATTGTATAATATCCATTTGTCTCCATTAGATCGCATAGGGGGCTGGAACAGTGAAGGCTGCGAGGTCAGTCCGGAGTCCAACAGCAACAGGACCGTCTGCTTGTGTAATCACCTCACACACTTTGGCATTCTAATGGTGAGATTTGTGGGATTGGCAACAAAATGACCCAACAGAGCGGTTTCATGTATTAAGCCAATATGGCAGACTGAAGCAACATTGATGCGTCGTATATGTCATCTAGAGTGGCTAAACATGCCTGGAACAGACAGGGCCAAATAGTTGGCAAATAGCTAATCAGGAGGCTTCACTGTAGTGTGGCACTGAAGCTATTAAGACTTTGCACACTTATAATATTAGCTGCTCTTTGTTAATGTTGCACCAGTGTGTTATTTGAATGTAGCATTATACAAAAGATACCAGTGGCATTTTTTGGAGTAATTACAGTAACCACTCATTTTTTTGGTTTAACCTTCCCGTCAATGAGGTTTCAGAGCGGTAGTTTTCTTCAAAAAAAATTTTGTACAAGCTAACTAAAACAATGGGGTCTAACACAATGTGTCTGTCTGTCCTCCAGAGAGATCCAAAGCGTCTTTGTGTGTTTTGGGATTTCAGCCTCCAAAGTGAAGGTAAAATAAATTATTTATTTGGCTGCTGTTTAAGCATTAAAATAGTCCCATAGGAGGCTGTACTGTATAGACTTCCAGTAATTGTATAATATCCATTTGTCTCCATTAGATCGCATAGGGGGCTGGAACAGTGAAGGCTGCGAGGTCAGTCTGGAGTCCAACAGCAACAGGACCGTCTGCTTGTGTAATCACCTCACACACTTTGGCATTCTAATGGTGAGATTTGTGGGATTGGCAACAAAATGACCCAACAGAGCGGTTTCATGTATTAAGCCAATATGGCAGACTGAAGCAACATTGATGCGTCGTATATGTCATCTAGAGTGGCTAAACATGCCTGGAACAGACAGGGCCAAATAGTTGGCAAATAGCTAATCAGGAGGCTTCACTGTAGTGTGGCACTGAAGCTATTAAGACTTTGCACACTTATAATATTAGCTGCTCTTTGTTAATGTTGCACCAGTGTGTTATTTGAATGTAGCATTATACAAAAGATACCAGTGGCATTGTAGAAATTATTTATTCACAGCTAGTCATTATTTAATTCATGAGCAAAAATGTCCAATAACGGGGTTTCTTAATATGGTGAGCTGCTCATGAATAATATATTAAAACCGCAATAATAGAATAAAACAGCTTTTTTGTACTATTAATTTCTTTGTGTAAAATTTGTTTAATGTGGAAATACATCCTTTACATTTATCTATAGACTTGTTTTTCATATTTCAGGAATTGTCACTGATAACTAAACACTAATGAAACTCTTGCATCCCTGATCAGTGTCATTATTGATTAACTTCGCCTCACTTTTGTCTTTTAGGACATCTCTGGAGCTTCTGCACAGATAGATGAGAAGAACAACAGGGTTCTCACGTTCATTACTTACATCGGCTGTGGCATCTCAGCCATTTTTTCCGCAGCAACACTGCTCACATACATCGCTTTTGAGTGAGTGTCCTTCAGCATATGACTAGGATACAAATACTGCATCTTTGATTTATGCCTCTTTGTAATGGAAAAAAACAAGTTACTAATTTTTCTTCCCCACATTTTTAAAGATGCTTTTAATTACTCATCTATGTGAACACATTGTGAAATATTACATTTGGATTTCTATTAACAGCTATTCAAATTCTAATGTTTCCTCAAAGAATGTCTTCAGCTCTGCCCATCTCAGTCTCCAGGATTGTCTTTTACCTGGGGCCGGTTGCATAAAAGGTGTAGACTGGTCTTACAAGTTAGTAATCAAATTTTTTCTTTAAGACTGGTCATACATTTTTAAAATTCAGTTACATAAAAGCATAGATTGATCTAAGTTAAATCTAAAAATTAGACTGATGACTTATTGGCTAACTGCTAGTTGGTCAAACTCTTACTTAAGACACTGTCTTAGCACAGAATTTAAGTTTATGCAACTGGACCCTGGTTTAGGCTGCACCCTTCCTCTTCAAGCGCTAATTTTTTATCATAAAATTGGGCTGCTTGTTGCTAGTATTCAGTGATCCTTATTTGAAAAATTTATCAAAATTGAAAGAAAAGGCTTTTACATTGTTACAAAAAATGTCTATTTCGAATAAATGCTGTTCTTTTGAACATGTATTCATCAGAGAATCCTGAAAAGATTTTGCACTGTTTCTACAAAAATATTAAGCAGCACAACTATTTTCAGCTTTGATAATAATAATAATAATATGAACTGATTCTTGAGCACCAAATCAGCATTTTAGAATGATTTCTGAAGGATTAGTTGACACTGAAACCTGGAGTAATGGCTGCTAAAAATTTAGATTTGTCATCCCAAGAATAAATTACATAATATATATTAAAATAGAAACAGTTCTTTTAAATTGCAATAAATATTTCAAAATATAACTTACTGTATTTTTGAGCAATTAAATGCAGCCTCAGTGAGCATGTTTTCTTTCAAAAACATGAAAAAATCTGACCAATCCCAAACTTGGAATGATAGTGTAAATGGCTAAAGGTGCAACGGAATTGTAAAGACTCATTGTTTTCTTTAATATAAATCTATAGGAAGCTGCGGCGTGACTATCCCTCCAAGATCCTGATGAATCTCAGCACGTCACTGCTCTTCCTCAACATGGTGTTTCTTCTGGATGGCTGGTTGGCCTCATACGACATTGAGGGATTGTGTGTGACAGTGGCTGTTTTTCTGCACTTTTTCCTTCTCACTTCCTTCACCTGGATGGGCTTAGAGTCCATCCACATGTACATTGCCCTGGTCAAGGTCTTCAACACCTACATACGGCGATACATCCTCAAGTTTTGTCTCGTGGGATGGGGTAAGTGCTACATTAAGTAGTTTTTCCTTTTGATAGTTGTTTGCCATGGATTTTTTGTGTGTTTAATAATAGTATAAGATCACTCAGAAGAAGTGTTGAACATACTAGTAAGAACATCTGACTACGTTTTCAGGTGTCCCTGCTTCAATTGTTGGCATTGTGTTGGCTGTGGGCAAAAATTCTTATGGAAAAAACTATTATGGAAAAGGAGAGAATGGACAGGGCACAGAATTGTAAGTTTGGCCCAAGAAATTCAAACTAGCCATTATTTTATATCTGATGTCTTATGTGGAAAAAGTCTTTTAGTTCCTTATTCTCATTCTGTTGGTTTTCCTGGTCTTTCCTTCTGTAGCTGTTGGATTCACAGTCCGGTGGTATTCTACGTGACATGCGTGGGCTACTTTTCCATGATCTTCCTGATGAATGTTGCCATGTTCATCGTGGTTATGATCCAGATCTGCGGGCGTAACGGCAAGCGCAGCAACCGAACACTTCAAGAGGAGATCTTGCGTAACCTGCGCAGTGTGGTCAGCCTGACTTTCTTACTGGGCATGACCTGGGGCTTTGCTTTTTTTGCCTGGGGTCCAGTCAGCTTGGCCTTCATGTACCTCTTCTCCATTTTCAACTCCCTACAGGGTTGGTTTAAATCATTATATTTTCACTATCCTGTACATTTGAAGACTCCATGCAATCAGTTGATGCTGGCAATGATATCTTTCCTGTGTTGATGTGTTTTCTATTTTTACATACCAACGTATTTTTTACCTTTTTTTAATGCGTATATATATATATATAAATAATTTACTTTATAATATTTTATAGTACTTTATAATACAATTTAAATGTTAAAAGAGTTAAAATGATCCCAAAAATTAGCATGTAAAGTCATAAACATTAAAAAGCTGCTCCTAGCACCACACTCTGCCGAAACCCGGGATCGAACCAGGGACCTTTAGATCTTCAGTCTAACGCTCTCCCAACTGAGCTATTTCGGCCTGTAGGTGTTTCAGTATAGTAATTTTATATGGGATCCGCTAGAGGTCGCTTTGGTATTGGTTCAATCTGAAATGAGACTAATCATTTGAAAATAGCTTGTTGGGTTGTAATCATTAAAGATTAAGGAGTAATTTGTTTTTCCAACAGGATTATTCATATTTGTGTTCCACTGTGCCCTGAAAGAAAATGTACAGAAGCAATGGAGGAGATACATCTGCTGTGGAAAGTTCCGCTTGGCAGATAACTCAGGTAAATTTAGTTGGTATTATTACTGATATTTTAAATTACTGATGGTTTTCTGGGATTTTGTCAATGTGTCAGAATCCTATATAGAGGAAGAATCATATATTCAATCACATTCCATGAAGTAATGCCTACAATATTAGTTAAAATTCATTTAAAAAAATTTTCTTGGGCATATTGGACTGTGCTGTGACTACATCTTTAGGTGCTGAATTTGGTGCTTTAGAATGTGTGTTTCAGTAAAGCCCCCAGCTTTGGAGACTTTTTTTGCCTGAAGTATCACAGAATATAACTATTGCTAATAAAATGTAGGACCAGAGAGGCCTTAGCTGGGCTTTACTTGCAGTTAAATCTGATCAAATGATTTGTGAAGTTAAACAGTCTATTTCTTTAGAAAGTTGTATGTCATTTATTTTGGATGATGGAATTGCAGTGTGTTATCTGAATTTCCTGGGGTTTTCTTATGCTGTATCTTTATGCATGGGATTCACCTGTGTGGTAAAGGTTAACTGGTATATATAAATAACATTTAACCATTTTTTTTGCAGACTGGAGCAAGACTGCCACTAATAATACCAAGAAAGTGAGTTCCGATAACCTGGGAAAATCCCTCTCCTCCAGTTCCTTTGGCTCCACTACAGCCAACTGGACGTCTAAAGCCAAAGCCACACTAAACCCCTTTGCCAGGCACAGTAAAGCAGGTAAGCGTAAAAGTAATGATGTGGATTGCTTAGGCCACAGTTGTTGGTTTACATTAACCCTTTGATGCATGAGCCATTACATTCAAACAAGGGTAAAAAAAATCTTACTGTTTCTTCTTACTTCAACACAAGAACTGGCAATATATAAGCGAAATAGGTCCTTTTTAATGTTTCTCACGGTGGGCTGTTTTAATTTGTCTCCTTTGTTTTGTTCTTTTTTCTTTTCGTTTGGCAGTGTTAATGTTCCCACTGGAGGAAATACACAGCTTGCACTGCTGACACTAAAATATATAAAACCATACACAGTAAACACTTCATCCCCACAGCAGGATCACTCTACATGCAGAGGATAGATTATATGCACTTGCTGTATTAGACTAATAATGCACTTAACATCAGAGATACTGTCATGCATAGCAGAGTTTTGTCATTGTAAAATTCTGAGACATTTATGATTTAAGAGTTGTAGACTTATGTTTGCATATATGATGATATGAAGGGAATACTGCACTGGTCATTACACTGAATTGAGCAAAATTGCATAATTTATCTAAAAATACAGTCTTCAAAAGTTCACATAGTATATTAAGTCATTGTAATGTGCATGGTTTAGATTTTTACTTAATCAACAATACAATTAATTACAATTGATTTCTTTCTTTCTAGTGAAAGAATTGAATCAAAATATATTATTGAATCAGTGTTTTATTTATATTTGTATTATATTTCACTTTTCGTTTCTATTTTGCTTGCTATGACTGAATTCAATCCAGTGGCTATAGACATAATATCTAGTCTAACTCACTCCTAACACATAAATGCTTCTTTTTGAGCCTCCAAAACAGTCCTTAATATGACATTCCCTTTTTGGAAACATTATGCATCTGTTGGGATGTTTTATGGTGGAATAATTGCCTGTTGGATTGAATCCAAGTTGTGGAGAGACATTCAAGAACTAGAAAGCACACTGCTGCTGGTTGTCATTGTCAGTTAAATAGCAAATAAAGCTGCTAGCACAGTGTTTCAATACAAGGAAACACCTCAATCCAAATAAATATGTAATAATAGGTTATAGACTTGACTCCCACCCAGTCTTTCAGTAGACACTGACAAGCTTTAGTGTCTTTTAGGAGTTCTGAATGTCATTTTCACTCTGTTTGACACTAATGTTTCTCACGGTGGGCTGTTTTAATTTGTCTCCTTTGTTTTGTTCTTTTTTCTTTTCGTTTGGCAGTGTTAATGTTCCCACTGGAGGAAATACACAGCTTGCACTGCTGACACTAAAATATATAAAACCATACACAATAAACACTTCATCCCCACAGCAGGATCACTCTACATGCAGAGGATAGATTATATGCACTTGCTGTATGACTAATAATGCACTTAACATCAGAGATACTGTCATGCACAGCAGACTTTTGTCATTGTAAAATTCTGAGACATTTATGATTTAAGAGCTGTAGACTTGTTATGTTTGCATATATGATGATATGAAGGGAATACTGCGCTGGTCATTACACTGAATTGAGCAAAATTGCATAATTTATCTAAAAATACAGTCTTCAAAAGTTCACATAGTATATTAAGTCATTGTAATGTGCATGGTTTAGATTTTTACTTAACAATACAATTAATTACAATTGATTTCTTTCTTTCTAGTGAAAAATCTTTCTTTCAAAATATATTATTGAATCAGTGTTTTATTTATATTTGTATTATATTTCACTTTTCGTTTCTATTTTGCTTGCTATTTTTATTAGAAAGAAGGATTTTTTGTCAATATTTTATTTTCTTTTTTTTGGCCGTTATTACACATTATGTGTATTGTGAAATAATCTTTGCTATTATATTGGCTCTTTTGTTTTGATTAGTTTATTCTGTCTTTCTATTTAATAAAGGAAATAAATGAATTAGATGTATTAAAGAAAAAATATTAATAATTTTACAAATGTCACATTTTTTTGTTTTGTTTCTATTTTTACTGTTATGTTCTTGCAGCCCCTAGTGAAGGGACAATCCTATTTCCCAAATCCCATAACGGAAGGATTTTTTTGTTCTAGATCAATTACAACTGACAGTATGTTAATTTATGATTTTGACCATATGACTGATTTGTGACCCTGGACCACAAAACCAGTCATAAGGGTCAATTTTTCGAAATTGAGATTTATATATCATCTGAAAGCTGAATAAATAAGCTTCCCATTGATGTCTGGTTTGTTAGTATATAGGACAATATTTGGCCGAGATACAACTATTTGAAAATCTGGAATTTGAGGGTGCAGAAAAAATCAAAATACTGAGAAAATCGCCTTTAAAGTTGTCCAAATTAAGTTCTTAGCAATGCATATTACTAATCCAAAATTAAGTTTTAATATATTTACAGTAGGAAATTTACTTAATATCTTCATGGAACATAATCTTTACTTAATGTCCTAATGATTTTTGGCATAAAAGAAAAATCAATAATTTTGACCCATACAATGTATTTTTGGCTTTTGCTATAAATATACCCCAGTGACTTAAGACTGGTTGTGTGGTCCAAAAAATATTTTTGTAGGTTTGTTTGTGTGTTTGCCAGTATTACACAATATGTGTATTGTGAAATAATATTTATTTTTATACTGAGACCTTTGTTTTAGTGAAATTTCTAACATGGTACATGGGAGCATAAGTCCGAAATGCCAAAAGTGTGCTTCAATTTTTGTGTTATTCTGTAGGTTAGCACCTTTCTGGAGCCTCACAATAGGGCATGATATGCTGTTCAATTTATTGCACATTAAAAAGCAATCACTGCACACACACACGTGTTTTCTGGGTTGTTATAAGCCTAAATGAAAATCGCATATACTGTTATGTTGAGCAAGAGTTTTGGAAATCAATTTTCTGTCAAAACAATTTCATATTTCCTGTTTGTTTAATATGTTCTTCCCAAACAATATTAAAAAGGTGGCCTAATTAAATATCATGATACAGTAAATTGTGATTTATATATGGTATGTGATGCGGCCATATCTTGATAATCTATGTTTAGCTGACTTTAAAGGGGTCATATGATGCGATTTAAATTTTTCCTTTCTCTTTGGAGTGTTATAAGCTCTTGGTGCATAAGGAAGATCTGTAAAGTTGCAAAGACTAAAGTCTCAAATCCAAAGAGATATTCTTTATAAAAGTTAAGACTTGTCCACGCCCTCCTAAAACGCCTCGTTTAAACACGCCCCCACATGTCTACGTCACTGTGTGGGAAGATTTGCATAACACCGCCCAAATGTTCATGCAAAGAAAGAAGGCGTAACTTTTATTCTCGCAGTAATATTGCTGTTGCCGCCGCCGCCGCCATGTTGTGGAGATGCTGTGTGTTTCGTTGTGAAAGTGAAACTACTTTGTTTGGTCTTCCAAAAGAGGACGATATCCGATTCGTCATGCCTAGAGCTGATCTGTGCTGGTCGTTGAGGAAATACATCAACCTCGCGCTGTGGATCAGCTTTCACCGTGGACGAAGTAGAGTCCAGCCCAGGGTCGTCACATGTGGTTTCCGCAACCCCGCCGGCCGCGCCGTTCTCACGTTTGCCGGCCGTTCCTCACTCTAGCCCACTGGCCTCCACTCACTCAAGTCCACAGTGTGTGACGCGTTTTATGGGGGACTGTTTCCTGAACCTGCAGAGTAGCGTACAATGGGTCTGTGCTCAAAGGCTGTTCTATAAAGGGGGGCAGTTCCAACTTTGCAAGGACAGCCTGACACTTCTGACTAACAGCCTGTAAGTACATTTTTTATATTTAAAGAATTTGCCACTGATGATTCAAATGCGTTTGAGCAGTGTAGAGTAGCGCTTGTTGTTTGTCGTTTCTCTGATCACAAATGCAGACATGGTTTTATGTGTACGCGGCACGATACGCAACGCGTAAAAAGACAGTATAAGTCATTATAATCAGTAATTATGTCCCCACTGGATGCAACAAATGCCTCTTGTAAGCAATTTTTCCATCATTGCAAGTTTGAAGTATTAGCAAAGTTTAAAAATCCAGAAAGTAGATACCACAACCAAAATTATATACTGCAGCCGCACTCCATGTGAAAAAAAGTTTCACTGATGAATAGCTTTTTGTTTCTTTTATTTGCCTTTTCACATTAGAATAAATATTCAGTTCATTCATTAGATTAGAAATTGGTTCAATTGTCTAAGAAATCAAATTATATCCACCAATAGATTTAAAGTGCTTGTCTGATTAGTGGAGAGGTATTTATTATTAGTATTAGTATTATTATTCATTAACAAACATTCACAATTTAATTTACACAAGATAGAAATGAAATTAAAACTCCTTACAATCTTTCTTTTGATAATGTCCTAATTATAAGCATAAACTGGATGCCAGAATTATCTTTACCAAAGGGCAATTTATATGATTAATGATAAACATAAAGTTCCCATAAGCCGCTATTGTTCTCAATAAATATCCAAATGTACTCACTATACGCAAAATTGGAAACCTCAAACTATATATATTACATGTCAATAAGAAGCAATACAGTTTTACAGTATTCTACAAAATACTGACAGTTAGATAATATACAGTATCACTTCTGTTTGCTTAATGTACTGTCACTCTTGAGATGCTAGCATTTCATGACAAGCCAAGTAATAGAAATGATAGTGTCTAATAGTGTATTACGTAAACCATTCACAGCTCACATATTCAGACACATGGCCAGGCTTGCCACCCAAATAGTAATAATATACTATTATTACAATTACGAAGTTACTACGTAGCTTTTTTTTCCATTTCTCTCAGGTTGTTTGTATTGGATTGTGCCGCCTCAGTCTCTGGGGCAGTCTAGACTTGTATTGTTCTTTGTAGTTTCTGGGATGGTACCTTTTGACTGAGGCATTTTCATCTCTGCAAAAGAATACCAAGTAGTGCATCAGTAAAACAATGCAGCTGCCACAATGTGTGTCAAATACAGTGAATTTAATAATGACACTCACTCTTGCTGGAGATCCAAGTAAGAGCAAAACCGCAAACACTTTGTATCTCTCTTGTCTGTGCAATGGCATCGCCCCACACCTCGTCTTAGACGCATTTGGAGTGAACCCACGCCATAGGGAATGACCTGACTGAAAGAGAACAGTGAATATTTAATCAAACCTATCAATTTGTAATATAGATTTTAATAATCAAATTGAATAAATAATTCATTTCATTGTCAACAACTGTATATATATATATATATACACACAGTGGTGTGAAAAAGTGTTGGCCCCCTTCCTGATTTCTTATTTTTTTGCATGTTTGTCACACTTTAATGTTTCAGATCAAACTAATTTAAATATTATTCAAAGATAACACAAGTAAACACAATATGCAGTTTTTAAATGAAGGTTTTTATTATTAAGGGAAAATAAAATCCAAAACTACATGGCCCTGTGTGAAATATATATATATGTTTTGTGCATAATATAGAACTCTTTTCAAAATCATGAACGGAACCGAAAGCCTTGTGCTTCTTTGAATTTGAATTTTGACCAGGATTCACTTCTCGAGAGCCAGACCCTCAATCTTTGGTTTCTGGGTTGTTTTTCACCAAAGGCAGTCTGCCCGTCCTCAGGTCTCCATGCGTGAGCCACATTAATGAGACCACACACTTAAATACAACCAGATACGTGCTTTCAGAGTGTACAGGTTACCAGCATCAGTCCCCAACAGATCTCAACCTCCACATCTCTCTCTTCTTTACACAATGTATCGTTCAAATACATACACAAATCAATGTTTGGGTGAAGTACCTGGGTGTATCGACCCATACGATTCCTATGTGGCAAAAGTACACACATTCTTTATCCTTATGGTTTTCACAGGAGCAGCGTCGTTCACGGCGGTGAATTTGTGGAGTAGCATTCACAGATGAACTTCTGTTTGCATGGGACCCTGGGACACACAGATACAAAGAAAATAACTTGTTACAAAAAGATAACGAGAACCGAAAGCCTTGTGCTTCTTTGAATTTTGACCAGGATTCACTTCCCGAGAGCCAGACCCTCAATCTTTGGTTTCTGGGTTGTTTTTCACCAAAGGCAGTCTGCCCGTCCTCAGGTCTCCATGCGTGAGCCACATTAATGAGACCACATACTTAAATACAACCAGATACGTGCTTTCAGAGTGTACAGGTTACCAGCATCAGTCCCCAACAGATCTCAACCTCCACATCTCTCTCTTCTTTACACAATGTATCGTTCAAATACATACACAAATCAATGTTTGGGTGAAGTACCTGGGTGTATCGACCCATACGATTCCTATGTGGCAAAAGTACACACATTCTTTATCCTTATGGTTTTCACAGGAGCAGCGTCGTTCACGGCGGTGAATTTGTGGAGTAGCATTCACAGATGAACTTCTGTTTGCATGGGACCCTGGGACACACAGATACAAAGAAAATAACTTGTTACAAAAAGATAACGGTACAAAAGATGTACCATTTTTTCCCCCTATATCTATTCTATTCATTAAAGAATCCTAAAACTTTAATAGTAATGGGAAATGTTTTTGAGCACCAAAACAGTATATTAGAATGATTTCTGTAGGATCATGCGATTCTGAATACTGGAATAATTGCTGCTGAAAATTCAACTTTTCCATCACAGAAATAAATTACAATATTAAAATAGAAAACAGTCAATTTAAATTGTAATAATATTTCAAAATTTGATTTAATTACATTTTTAATTAAATAATTATCTTAATAGTTGCAGTAAAAAATGGGGTAACACTATGAATACAGCCTTCAAAATGCTGAATTACAGCTAATTCACAGATTCCTGGCTAATATTTTCATGTTACCCGAAGCCTAAGTCTTTTTGCCTTGATGCGTTACACCTGAAATAAAATCTCAAAATTTGTAAAAATATTAGTCTTCACTTGATGTTAGACATAACATGTCTAAGCTGTTGCTGCTGTCTAAACATTTCAGCTGTGTTGTCTCTTCGAGGTCCACTTTGTTTTAATCCTGAAGATTCCCATACAAATCCAGTTTTCGTGTAGTTGACAAAAGTAAAATAAAAGCTAAAAACAAAATGGCTTATGGTTCAGCTTCATTAAGGTTGTGGTGAATGAAAAGCCAAGTGGGCCATGTTTAAAGAAGACAGCAAATTCGAATCTGTGGCCAACCACATTTTATGCCTCTAGGATTCCAGCAGCGCATGTAGATACTACAAAGCAAACCACCACTACAGCTTCCGATGGTTGGTGTTTTAAAAGTTGAATCGAAAACAGATCTCGCACTCATCTGCAACATGGCAAGTCTTCAACAGACAAACAAATCTCAAAGGAAAAGACAAAAGAACAAGTACGTTGGTATTTACATAAAGGTACTTTAAAGAATAGTGCCTACCATGGTACTTTCAATTGCCGGAAAAGTTAGAAGTTAAATTCTTTCATGAAGTAGGAACTGAGGTTGCAAGATGTCTCTGAGTTTTGCACAGGATACATGGAAAGGGGTATAAGCAGGACCCCAGGAACTGGAATGACTTCTAAGGGGCTCAGTCAAGCGAACAGGGCCTGAGGCTGTAAGGCTTTATAGAAGAGGATGAAATTGCATGCCCAGGTCTAGTGGAAAGTGATCACTGTGATCCATCACTATAACAAGGCTATGGGGGTCTAACTATTGAAGTTTGATGTGGAATACACAACAAATGGTCTAACTTTTGTTTTGAGGCTGGAAATCAT